CAGGTTAGAAACAGACACTACCAGCACCCCGGAAGCCCTGTGGTATTCCCCCAACCGTTATCTCCTTCTTCTTCCCTAAAAAGTAACTCCCTCCTAACTTCTTGTATCATAGATTAGTTTTTACCTGTTTTAAACTTTATATAAAAGGGAGCCATACATCACATACTGCTTTTGTGTCTGGTTTCTTCTGCTGAACGTCGTATTTGTAAAGTGTGGCCTTGCTATTGCATATACTGGTGGCATATTCACTCTACTGCTGCATCATATTCCATCATACAAGTACACTGCAATTCATCCATTTTTCCATTAATGGATATGTCAGGTAATTTACAGGTTGAGGCTATTTCAAATAAACTTTCTATGAAAATCCTTGTTCTTGTCTCCTTGGTGCACATGTGCATTTTTGAGGTGCTGGGGATCCCCAGACCTTGTTCATTGGAGGCAAGCACTCTATCACTGAACTACATCCCCAGCCCTCTTCATCTGATTTATTTATTTTTGATGGGAATGAAGTTTCAAGTAAGGGCTTCGCACTTGCAAAGCAGGCGCTCTATCACTCGAGCCTCGCCTGCATTCCATTTTGCTCTGGTAATTTTGGAGATGGGGTCTTTGAAAATATTTGCCAGGATTGGCCTTGAGCTGCGCGACCCTCTTGATCTCAGCCTACCAAGTAACTAGGATTACAAGAGTGAGCCATCAGCACTGTTATAAAGGAAGAAAGCAGTTCAGTTGGGAGCACCACAAAACGGGTTTGGAGAAGTGACACAAGAATGGTCAATTAGGCAGTTTTATCATGAGCAATTCCTGGTCTTACACAGAGATGTTTAAGACCTGGGTCTCAACAGTAGAAAGCACTTGGTGAAGAGCTGTGTCCTTGGCCAGCAGTAATCCAGAGAACAGGGAACAGAAACGGACTGTGTAATTAAGTGCAGAATCACCTACGCCCAGAGTAAAGGCAACTTTTAGAATCTCTGGGCTAAGCGTAGACAGTTTAATACTAGGGCTGGCTTCTCAACTCCAGCTCACCCTTAGTCTGCGACTGTAGTCATCTAGAAGCCATGCATGGGGAGAAGGAAAGGGGAGTGGGTCTGGGGGTCATTTCCATGGCCCCAGAGATATTTCTTCCACAGTCTCCTCTTCCCAGGGCAGTCCACCCCTGAAACTGAGGCTAGGACTTTGGAGAATAACAAAACTTCAGGTGGACTCGGCCCATCCCACTCCTATAAAGCTCTTGTCCTGTGAAGGCAGAGGGGAGCCAGCACAGATCACTCAGAAGCAAGGTACGATCATCAAAATGTCACGGTGAATAACTGAAGTTTGAAGTCTGGACATATTTGGAAGTCAGTGAAGGTGAGAAGAGAGAGGAATGGCTGAAAGGCTGAATTGGGGTAGTGGGTCGAGGGTTACCCTCATTTAGTTGATCTGCGGAAGAACAAGGTTGAATGGAAGGCAGGGTCAGGACAGCTGCTGGATGGGATGGGAATGAAGATTCTGTCCCCTTCTGGGGATAGTTCGGAGAGGAGGGACCCCTGGAAAGTTCACTTCCCAGCTCTGGGCCTGGAAGGAGGGATGTCTTCGGCCAGGACTCCACGCGCTTGGGGACTGCGGGGCCCCGACGTGGAGCCCCGACGTGGAGCAGCACCGAGGGTGGGAGTGAGGTGGCACCGCCCCTCCCGGACGCGCGTCGGGCGCCCTCTTGTCACCCCACGCCTCCCCGCCCGGGCCCCAGGACTAGCGGCCCGCCCAGGTGCGCCGGGGGTTGGGCGGGCGCCCGGAAGGTGCGCGCCCCGCCCCGCGCCGGTCCCCACGGCCGCCCCCCGCGTGAAAGTGAAAGTCTCGGGGCCCGCGGAGGTCAAGGATTGGGGGGCGGGGCCGGCGCGGACCCGGGAACGGGCGCTGGCACTGGAGGGGCCATGGATGGGCTCGGCCGCCGCCTTCGAGCCAGCCTGAGACTGAAGCGCGGCCATGGGGGTCAGTGTCCGCCGGGGTGAGGGCGCGGGGACTGCGGGGGGCGCGCGGCGAGGGCGGGGGAGGTTGGGGACCTGGGTCGGGCGGCGCGGGAGTCCAGATCGCAGAGCAGTTTGGGCGCAAGGCAGGTGACCGCGCAGGTACAGGTGCAGAGAGAGGGTCAGGAGGGGGCGGGGGCGAAGGTGACAGGGACTGCGGGGGCGAGTGGGAGGTGACCGGCCGGAGGAAACCGTTGTGGGGCCCCGGAGCCACGTGTCCTTCCATCCAGGAAACTTGTGGTGTAACCGCAGTGTGCCTGAAGCGTCGGGGCTGCGGAGCCCTCCGGGAGGCGCCGCCTCTGTTCAACCTCGCGCCCCGGACTCCCTGGAGCCTTTGTGGGGTTTCTGGGAACCGCGAAATCGCGTCTCCATGGCGACCTGAGTACCCACACAGGGGCGGTCCACTCTGCCCCTCAGCCCCCGCCGGTGCGATGAGAGTAACTCCTGTCGAGGATGGTCAGGATGGTGCGGGGTTCAGTTAACAGCCAGTGTCAGCTCCCTTCCTTTCTTCTAAGCCAGAGCGCTGGGCTTTGGAAAGAAGGCAATTATGATTTCATTGATTTGTCCAAACCGCGAAGATCCCAGAGGTGAGGATAGTGCGCACTTCTCTGAAGTTCAACGACTTCTGAGTGATCTGCTATTCGTCCTGTTCTCCTTCTGCCACCTTGTCACCCCCTCTCTCCTGCGCCTGGAAAGTCCACCTGCATGGTGGGGAGCGGTTTGGAACTGCGCAGTGGCTGTACGAAATGCAAGGGGAGACAGCTCTCTTCTCTGAGAGCTCCGGCTTGGTTTTCTTGGGCTTCCCAGACCTGGAAAGTTTGTTGACTGGTTGGAGTCGTCCCCTGCCCCAACACACACACACACACACACACACACACACACACACACACACACACACACACATTGGAGGAGCTTCCTGGTGGTTGAGGAACCCGGAAGATGAGCAGTCTTTAACTCTCGGCCTGGTCTAGCTCCTTCTGCTCTAGCACCTGTCAGGCCAGGGGAGTGTGCCTTCTTCATTTTCCATGTCATCCTACAGCTTCCTGGGGGATTTTCTCTTCTCTTACCTTTCTGGCACCTAGGCAGTTGTATATTAGGAGGATGCTGTGCGTGTGTGTGTGTGTGTGTGTGTGTGTGTGTGTGTGTGCGCGCGCGCGCATATATTTGTATAGATCACACTGGTTTGGGGGGAGTGTTGTGGTGGTCCTGAGTTGATAGCAGCCCTGTTCAAAGAGGAAGGGCTGGCTTTTCAGATCAAGGTAGTAGAAAATCCCCTTACCTATATTCCAGACAATTCTGGGACTTAGTCAGGCGGCTGTGGGAGGGCCTTCCTGGTCGAGGAACAAGTGTAACCAGACTTCTTGACTTCGCTACAAAGAGTGACTATCCCCTCAACTAAATAATTCCTTTCCAGGGCATTGGGGGTTAAATGAGATGCCTTATATGAAATGTAGAGTTTGATGGATGTTAAGTTTCTCCTACTTTTCTGTTGACAGCGGCTTTTGAAAGGAGGAGAAAGGAGTCTTTTGTTAAAAATTTCTTGGGCCTCAGCCCAAAAGTCTAGTTACTTTTTTTTTTCGTCAAGGATTTCTGACTTTGGTTGTTCCCTTGTTTCTCCTGATAAAGCAGGAGGAAATGGACTGAAAATGCTGTCCAAGGATTTAGGAAAGGGCATGATTTCCTCAGGTTGTGGAATGATCAGGGGGTGCTTCTGCTCCCCAAAGCCCTTAGAAAACCTCTGTGGGATATTTGCTGGACACGGGGCTTTCCTAATTCTCACCCTCAGCAGATCCCTTAAAGAGCCTCTGAGGTGCTCCATGCCTCACTTTCCCTCATCTGTATCAGGAAGGTGCAGGTCACTCTGACAGGCAGTAAGTATGGTACAACAAGGCAGTCATGCTGACATTGAGTGTTCTCACTAGTGCACCATTCAGACCACTGTTATTTACTATGACTGGGGCTTCCCCTAGGAGTCATGAAAGGGCAATTGAGCCCTGGCTTTTATTAGTGTCACAAATGCCTCATCTAGAGCTTTTAGGACCAGGGCAGCAGCCTTCCCTACCCTAGCTTCCTTTCCCTACTCTAGCAACTCAGTCCCTTCCAGAGGACTGCTAGTTCTTTGCAGGAGTGGCAGACACTGGTGCCAAATCTCTTTGCTGCCTTGCCTCCCCTGAGTCAACTTCCTGGCAAAAGTTCTTCCCCCTTACCTTGTGCATTTCCTTATTCAAAAGTTTCCATGAGCAGGATGTGGTGGTTCACACCTGTAATCCCAGCACCTGGGAAGCAGAGGGAGGAAGATTGCAAGTTTGAGGTTAGCCTAGTTTAGATGATGAGTTCTACATGGGCAACATGGCGAGACCCTGTGTCAAAAGAAAGAAAAAGTTTCTTTAAGAATCCTAGGTGATTTATTGCTACCTTTTCTCTCTTCTTCAGTCTTCAGACACAGCAGTGGGCCAGCAGCTCAGCTTATTGACCTGGCCCAACAGGTAGAAAGACTGAGCAGGAGGGAGGGTAGGGTGAAGATCACCCGGATGCTTTCCACTGCTGCTGAGTGACGTCAGGCTGCTGATGCAACCAGTCCCCTCATCCAGGCTGGAGCTAGTTTCCTGAGTCAGGGCTTCCTATTTGGGAAGAGGGAATCTGCTGGAGTCCTGGAACAGTACCCGTTAAGAGAACTCTTTGCCTTGGCCAGGACATGTTACAAGGGCTGAGAGAGTCAACTGTTGTCATTATTCTAGAACTATCAGAAGCTCCCAGCTCTGACATGGGCTTTACTGTCCACTGCACTACAGAGGATCTTTGGGGTCTGTATAGATTTCAAGGACTCCCTGTTGCTTAGAAGACTTGCTCCATTTAGATAATTATTAGGCTAAGTCTGTTTCTCTTAGTTAAAGCAACGCTGTGGCTTCTTGGTGGCAGAGAGTGTTCAGTCTTGTGCTCTTGTAGAGGTGCTGAAGTTCTGAAATGTAGCAAGTGTCCTCGTTGGGGTTTCAGCCTCTGTTGACCAAGATGAGCACTAAAAAGTTAGCAGTCAAAGTTGTGAGGATCAAGATCTTTGTCCTCAGACCTACCAGGTTCTGGTGCCCAAGGTCTGATGCTATCAGGCAATTGGTGTAAATACTCTCACACACAATCCACAGCCCAGAATTCAAAGCCCTCAGTCCAGAAGCAACTGGGCCTCAGAGATGTTTGCTCATGACCTTTTGTCTCACCGCACCCTGGGGCTCTTGGGAGGAGCCAAGATCTGAGCTGCAGTGCCAGGATGCTGCTTCTGTCGGTACCCACGTTCAGCTGCCTCCAGGAACCGTCATATCCTTCTTTCTCAACCACGGGGTGCACAGAATGGAAACTGCTCCCCCTTCTTTGGAAGATCGTGTGAGGCCTGCCTTCTCAGAGTTGTGGCTAGAGACAGAGGCAGCAGCCTGTTTCTCAGGCTTTCTGTAGCCAGACTGTGGCGAAGAGTCCTCCATGCCTGGAAGGCTGGAAGATGGAAAGACAAGGGGTAGGCCAGGCTCTGAGGCTCTTCAGAAACTGGTTGCCTGGACTCCGAGCAGGTCAGGACTGGATTGCCTACTTCCTTTTTTTCTTAGGGTGATCCTCTTAAATGGACTGTTTCCTCTTGGACTTACTCCTCCCTCTTTTTCTTCATGTGCAAATTTCCATATGGTTCCCCATGTGACTGGGTTAGGAGGTTTCCCCTGCTGGTTTGCAGAGCTGGTTGTGCCCTCTTAGTGGGGTTGGTGTGATCACAGCCACATGGTTCCTGGGCCTGTTTACTCTCCTGATACATTGTTCCAGGACTGCCAAGGTAGGCAAAGATCTGCAGTTCCCTGGGGCTTCTCCATCTGTGGTTTCTTTCCTCCTCTCGGCTCCCTGTGGTTTCAAGTCTCCCAGGGCAGGTGTGGAAACTGCCCACTTGGCTCTGATCCTGTCCCGTGACTGGTGGTGCTGGTCAGGCTTCGGGTATCTCAGCATAGGCAAGGCAGCTTGGAAGTGTGGAAGTTGCCCAGATTGTCACAGACGCCCCAGAAAGGATTGATGAAATACTGAAGGGAGATCTCCGTTTCAGGATCTCACCAGGACAATCCAGGAGAATCTATAAAGGAACCAGAAAGGACTCAGGACCACTCTCTGCCCGTCTTTGCTGGGGGACAGCACTTCTTTGAATATCTTTTGGTGGTTTCTCTGAAAAAAAAGCGATCAGGGGATGACTATGAGCCCACGATCACCTACCAGTTTCCCAAGGTAAGGACTGAGAGGGAGGTGAGGGGACACAGTAGTTTTTGAAAGGTGGTAGTGGGGTTCTGTCTTCTTTCCCCTACCCTTCAGGGTTTTAGAGCTGAGCTCATTGCTCTCGTTTCCTTCTTAGCCCAGCCCTAGTTTTCTGTTATCACCCACAGAATCTAGGTTTGACTGCTCTGTGAGGGACTGGCTTAGCCTCCCTAGCAGGGAAAGTAGGTAAGTGCTCTTACGCCTTTTGGGGCCTCTTGGTTTCCCAAGTTCCATCTTCAGTCACCTTTCTCTGCACAAATGCTTACTTTCTGTAGGACCTCATAGATGGCAACCCCTCCCAAGCTGTGTGGGATGGAGAGGATGGGACAGCCCACAGCTGGTGGACAGGTTCAGGACTCCACCATAGCCCAAGCATCAGACTCTTTCTTGTCTGATCCTGCAGGGGGTGAAAGGATTAGAAGAGGGCATCCTTCTCATTAAGTCCACTCCTTAGCAGGCGCAGCAACTGAGCTGGCTGCTTCACTTTTCTCATGTGGTATCTCTCTGATGTCACCCTCCCAGGGCCTTTCTGTATTCAGTGTGGCCCTTACCTCCTTCCTTCCTCTGGAAATCCTCAACATACTGACGTCCAACCCAAGTTCATGTTGATGTGGCCCAGGAGTCATCTTAGGGATTGTTCCTGACAGACCCAGAATGCAGACTATATAGAGTGAGCAAAGGCACCTTTTGGCCTCATTGGTAGTCGAAAAGCTTGTCCTGAGATGGCTTCAAAAGAAACCTGTCAGCCTTCTGACCCCCTCCTTCTGACCCTACAACTCACTCATCTCTTTTCCTTGCAGCGGGAGAACCTGCTTCGTGGTCAACAGGAGGAGGAGGAGCGGCTGCTCAAAGCCATTCCTTTGTTCTGCTTCCCAGATGGGAATGAGTGGGCATCACTCACTGAGTATCCCAGGTAAATAACTCAGCCTGGGGACGAGGTATCAGATTGGGAGAACAGGGGCAAGCGTGAGCCATGTGGCTCCTGTAGCCCCATCACCTGTCCTGCATGCAGATTTCTGGTCAAGGGGAGGAGTTGATCCATTTAAAAACATCTTTCCTGGGAGTCCTTAATGCCAAAGATCTTAGCTGGGGTTTGACTTCTGTCCAAAGAACCCTAAGAGTCTCTCCCCTGTCCTAGAAGCAATGGTCACTGCTTTTGACTCTGCTGTTGAGTTAAATCTGGACTCAGTGGAAGCTTCGTCCTCTAATCAGGCAATGTAGCAAGAGCCCTTACATCACAAGCCCTGAAAGTTGACTGAGTCTGAATTTTGGCTTCACCACTTATGGGTTGACTTTGGATAAAAAATACCCTGTCAGAGCCTCAGTTCCTTTATCTTTAACCTGGGGATAATAATTGAACCTACCTTGAAATGTTGTTTGGTGAATCAAATGAAGAGATGCATTTGGGACTTGATATCCATGAGCACTTAATAAATTACTGGGGTCATTTCTACTATAATTTATCGGTAACTCCTCTTTGTCCTCATCTCCACTCCTCTGACACTTACTGCCTTCCTATTTTAGAAACTGCTAAGCAAATGCACATCAAGCCTTGTCTGCTCTTTCTTAGGGAGACCTTCTCCTTTGTTCTGACCAATGTGGATGGGAGCAGGAAGATTGGATATTGCAGGCGCCTCTTGGTTTGTGCTACTGAGAACTGCCTCCTCCTCCCTGCAGACTGCTCAGCTCTATAGCTGGGCTTGCTCAAGCCTCAGCTGCAAAATCCCAGTGTCACTGGCAATGGTGGTGGTAGGGAGAACACAGCCCAGCACCTACTGCCATGTTTAGCTCCCTCTACAACCCTGCAGCAACAACATGGCACTCCTCTTTGCTTGTCCAGAGGAGCTTTTCAGGGGACCATAGGCCAGGCTTTGGTTTGTGCTTTCCAACTTTCAACTGGTCCAGTCACTGGGAGATGCGCCAGCTGACTCCTCTCCCTGGCTTCTTTATTTTGGCCTGCTTGCTTTGGCCCCTGGAGCCTTCCAATCAGAGGCTGGGATTTAGACATCTAAGCTCAATTCTTGGGTCCCAGAGAATTCTCCAAGGCACCCTTATTTTTTTCCATGTCAGATGGGTTATGTGGAAGATTTAACAAAGTTTAAGGGAGGCACATGTCATGCAAAGGCATGAACACCCAATCATCATGCTTCTGAACCAAAAAAGGATTTGGAAGGCACCTTTACAGGGCTTTCCTCCCTAGCCATTTCCCCATCTCTAGACCCACATTTTCCTCTCTATGTGACCTGCAGATCATGTTGGCCTGGAGGCAGCAGTGTTTGCTTTTGAGTCCCCAGCCCCCACTCAAGGCCATCTTCTTCTGACCTTGGGGGACCATTTTGACCCCCTTGCTGTCTGAGCCATGAATGGAACCTCTGTACAGTGAGACTTTTCTCCATTGGGTCCATAACCCCCATGCTTTGCTCTTCCCCTGTGCCCCACCAGCCCCAAGTGGGAGAAGCCCCTGGGGAGGCTGTGGCCCTGAAGGAAACTTTTGTCCCTCCCCAGCCTGCCGGCCCTGGCCCTCGCCTTCCCAAAGTATACTGCATCATCAGCTGCATCGGTTCCTTCGGCTTGTTCTCCAAGGTAGGGGTGGAGCAGGATTCCTCCTATCCTGTTGGGCCTGTTCAGCTTCTAGGCTCTGCCTGGCTGCTGGCCCTGCCTGTGCAACCTGAGCCTTTAGTGGAGCTGCTTCCTGATAGCCTAGCCAGGATTGAAGGCACTTGGGAAAACTGAGGCAGAGAGGTGTTTGGGTTCTATTTGATTTCAAGGGACTCTAGAGAACTGTTTCCCCTGCAGAGAGAGGCACTGTTCCCACTTGGGTCAAGTAAGAAAGCAATTGAAGCAGGACAGAGCCTCAGGAGTCTTCTGCCCTGAGTTCCAGTTTTCTCATCTGTCAAGTGGACCTAATGACCACTCACCTTCTTGTCTCCCGGGCTGGTGTGAGGTGACATATGAGAAGTCTCGTTATAAAATGTAGAGCAACAAAGGAGTCTGAAGACAATCATTACACAGTAAGGGCCTAGAGACTTGGCCTGAATCCTTCCAGGGAAGATAAGGTGAGGTCACTAGGACTTGCTGGGACTAACTGGATTGCCAGCACACTGAGTAAGGATCAGAACAGAGTCCTTCAGAATGGACAAGGCCTGTATTGGTGGCTAGAAAGGGCTTCAATGTGCTCTGGTCCTGGCAGGACCCTTGGAGGAGGGGAATATCTCTGTCAGTCTTTGCTTAGATGTTGCTCCCATCTGTGTGGTATTCTGAGGGGTGGAGGAATCCCTGATGCTGGAGAGACTCCAGTGGAAGCTGGAGTTCAGAGTGACTCCCAGGAGGTCAAGCTTCTAGGCTCCCACTTCAGCCAGTGCCATTATCAAAGATGACTTTAATTGTGGATGACTTCCTGGGGACAGTAGTTTTATGATGGTGTTACTAGAAGGGAGGAGTATGGATTAGTAGAGGGAGAATGAAAAGAAAGCTAGGAAAAAGCAGGTCTGTTCAGGAGACAAAGAGTATTTTATTTAGCGTGAGACTTATTTCTGACAGGGATGGAGAGAGAGCTCGTTGGTAGAGCAGCCTAGAAGATAAATGAAAAAAGCCAGGCCAGCATGAGAGCCTTCTCCTGAACCATGCCTCCTGTGGTCCTTTCCTGCAGATCCTGGATGAAGTAGAGAAGAGGCATCAGATCTCTATGGCTGTCATCTACCCATTCATGCAGGGTCTTCGAGAGGCAGCCTTCCCTGCACCTGGAAAGACGGTCACCCTCAAGAGCTTCATTCCCGACTCGGGCACAGAGGTGGGTTAGCAAATGGGTGAAACCCCCAGCTTCCACAGCATCTCTGTGAAATGGTTTTCCATTCACTAGGTTAAAGCATAGAGAAACTAAGCCAGGTGGGAACTGGGATTTGGTTAGCATTATTGACAGAGGAGAAAATCAGCCCTAAATTTGTTGAACCTTCTGACCTGATGCCCATAAGCACCTAGTTACTCTTTAATCCATTCTTTAATCACTGTTTGTGATCAATACACTATGTAAGTTGAGGTCATTTTTTCTTCTTCAGTACTGGAGCTTGAACTCAGGGCCTACACCTTGAGCCACTCCATCAGCCCTTTTTTGTGATTTTTTTTTTCAGGATAGGTTCTCAAGAACTATTTGCCTGGGCTGGCTTCAAACTGAGATCCTCCTGATTTCTGCCTCCCGAGTAGCTAGCATTACAGGCATGAGCCACTGGCACCCATCTGTAAATTAAGGTTTTGATGCTAGAAATGACTTTGCTTCCAGCCCTCAAACTGCCACTTGTCCCCATACTTCATTCTGTGTGTCTGTCTTATATCTCTACCTTACGTCCCCCATCTGTCTAATTCTTATCGTCCATCCCCGCCATGTCACATGGGGATGGTATTGTTCTAAGTCACTAAATAGATTGAGGTACCAAGGAAAACATTGTTCTAAAGATTCCAGGGTTGGGGCATGGTTCAAGTGGTATTGCACCTGCTTAGCAAGCACAAGACCCTGAGTTCAAACCCCAGTACTGCCAAAAAAAGTGTATCTGTTCTAAGAATTTAGTCCTGACCTCCAGAACTCTGGGGCATTCATGTGCCACTCTGAACCTTGGCTTCCCCCTAGAAAAATAGGGGAATGGCTAGGATTTTTCATTTACTCAAAAAATAAGTACTGAATGGTTTGCTGTGTGCCAAGCTAAATTATTTTCTGGGTACACAGTGGTGACCAGGTGAACATGGTCCCTGACCTAATGGAGGGGAAGACATAAACATGCCAATGGATGTAATTGAAATGAAAGAAAAACCAGGATGCTACATGAGGAAAAGATGAAGTATTAGGTGGCCAAGAAAGGCCTACCTAAAAGAAGATAAGAATTAAGGAAGGAGAGCAGTTCATGGAGAGTTCCAACCTGTGAACAGCTTTAGGTGAGCACCCTTTGCTCTGGAAGCAGAAGTGGAGTGTGCTCAAGATAGGATCTCACAGTGAAGATTACATGTCATCCTCAGAACAGAGGAAAGCCAACTGGTGGGTTTTTAGCAGGGGGCACAGGATCTCTCTTGTGAGAAGAGTGGAGTAGAACTGGTACAGGCCCATTGTTCTGGGGTTTGTGTGATTTTCATCATGGTGATACGTCCCTTTCTGGTTTTCCCACAGTTCATTTCACTGACACGGCCCCTGGACTCCCACCTTGAACACGTGGATTTTAGCTCCCTGTTACATTGTCTTCATTTTGAACAGATTATTCAGATCTTTGCTTCTGCAGTGCTGGAGAGAAAAATCATCTTTCTGGCAGATGGTCTCAGGTGGGCCCAGCTACTGACTGGCCAGACAGGTCTGCATCTCTGGTTTAAGAGACAGTTTGACAGACTGGAGGTTGTCAATGGGAGTCAGATTAGAGGTCTGGTGTCCATCTTTTTACTCCTGGATCTAGACTTTAGGCCTGGGAAACAGCTGTTGCAACTCCCTTCCCCTGTCTTCGAACTTGATTGCTGCCTAGGCTGAAGAATGTCCCTAATTTAGCTCTGGGAAGGACATGAAGTTTCCTGCGGCAGCCAGATAGGGTTAATGCAGACATGCTTCTGCCCTGGCAAGGACACAAGCAGGAAAGAGGGTGGAGAACAGGACAGAAAGTGATGTAATGATATGGAGGATAAGACCATCTATCCATTTATTCACTCATTCAACAAACATGTGGTGTGTGTCAACTGTTTGCCAGATGCAAAGCATTAGGAAGATACCAACAAGGTCTTTGACCTGAGGGAGGTTGCAGGCACAGGTATTGAAATCAGCAGGATGAATTTCAAATCCTAGTCTTCCACTTTTAGCTATGAAGTTTTCCTCAGGTAAGTTTCTTAACTTCTTGAAGTCATGATCTCCTTATCTGTGGAATGGAAAGGATTGTACCTACCTTGTAAGGTTATGGAGAGGATTACAGGAAATAGTGCACATTAGGTCCCTAGCACTGTGTCGGGTGCATATTGGTAAAGACTAGCTGTTACTCTAAGTTCACAGCTGAGTATGTCACTGTGTGTAGTCAAAGCAGGGCACTATCATGTATTGGTTTTTACTTTTGAGGGACTTCAAGTCTGAAAAGAGGAAACATATGACAGAATGGAAAAGAAAAAAAATAGTAGAGGATTGACCTTTTTGTGTCTGGGAAGGGGGAGAGCCAATAATATTGCGCTAACAACCCTGGTTCTAACCTTTAGAGAAGAAGAAGAAGAAAAGGAAGTTAGGGAAATACCAGAGGTCAGAGGTCAGGTGAATGTCATGAGTTTCAGAGGAAGGGAAGCTTGGGCAGGGATTGGGGACTGTGTGTTTGTTGAAAATTCTTAACAAAATCAGTAATAACCAAAAAGGAACCAATTAGAGGCTCATTCCTGTGAGGAGGAACATTGTTTTTTGCTTTGCTCTGGGTGGAAATGTGAAGTTTCCTTGATGGCTGGGGATCAGGTTCCAGCCTTTTCCCTCAAATCAGTGCTAGGGAAGAGAAGACTGGGGGCTATACCTTTCAGGAGCAGACTTTCTCTAGGGAAATATCTCCACTCCCCACTTCCTTCCCACTTCAGGTCCCTGAAGCTCGGGCTGGGAGGGGACTTCCAGTTAGCTGGAGCCTTAGCTAGATGCTCAGAGACTTAGTCTTCCTAATTCAGGAAGTGCCAACTTGATACCAAGAATTGGATCAAGGTTTCCGAGTCTGTGTTTTTATTGGCAATTTGGGGCAATTTGGCTGGAGAAATGAAGAGCCATGAAAGCTAATAAATAGAGAAGCCAGAGTAGGGCTGTGTGTATGTGTGTGTGGTGGGGGGGTTGGAAAAAGTGGAGAGAAGAGGGCAACTGACTGGTGACTTGGGCAGTAATGACCTGAGGAATGTTTTATTGCAAAGCCTAGAAGAGCCACCTCTGTGGGACTTTCCATGGAGGCAGAGGTTCCTGGAACCTAGGAATTTCCCAAGCTAACTCAGGCATCAACCTGGTAGCTTCCAGTAACCTCAAGCAGCCTCAGAGAGCCATTCGAGGTCAAGGCTGGGGCTGAGGGTGGGTAGACATAAGGAGAGCAGACTTTGCCTCTCTGCTGAGGCCCTGTGTTGACTTCTACACTTACGAGTTCCTTAAAAGTGGGCTACAGTACTACCCTTCCTGGTGTCTGTACCCTTTGCACAGTTGTGAGCACATAGCAGAGGTTCAGTCACTTCTCTGTTTGAAGGAAGACATCTCTTCTTCCCCTCTTCTGAGCCACTTTTATTTTTGGCCAGTAATAAGAAGAGTAACTGGGAAAAGAGGTCAAAGGCGGTCCCACCCTGGCCTGCCCTCCTCCTACTAGCATCAAGTAGCAACAAGCTCTGTGACCAGTGTGGCTCCCAGACTTGCCTTTTTGCACTGCCACAGGCTGTACTGGCAGCAGCTGGACTATGGGCGGAGGCGTGTAGGGTGAGACTCATTCTCTGTGCTCTGTCCCAGTACCCTGTCTCAGTGCATCCACGCTGCTGCTGCGTTGCTCTACCCCTTCAGCTGGGCACACACCTACATTCCTGTTGTTCCCGAGAGTCTTCTGGCCACCGTCTGCTGCCCCACCCCCTTCATGGTTGGAGTACAAATGCGCTTCCGGCAGGAGGTTATGGACAGCCCCATGGAAGAGGTATGCCGCAGCAAGAAGAGTGCGTGCTTTGGAACCAGGCAGACTTGGATTGGGATCCCAGCTCTGCTACTAACAGCTGTGTGATTTGGGGCAAGTTACTTAATCTCTACACTTGAGCTTCCTCATCTGCAAAATGGGGATACAACAGTGTGTAGTGCCTAGGGACTCTGGGGGAAATAGCCCACGTAAGCCCCTGACACATAGTTGATACTCAGTAAGTGTTGCCTCTCTTCCTGTTCTCCTGAAGGACTTCTCTGTGGGCATAGGAGGCAGCATATAACTCATTCGGGGTGTCATGAGACTGTCCTCTACTGACTGGAGACTATCCTCTTAGCTGACTGGATGATCACAGCTGGTCTATACAACACACACCCCATTGGAATTCATTCCGATTCCTTGGAAGCAAGCCCTCTTGTAAACTGTTGAGACTTGAAAATGCAGGGTTTTGCACCAAGCGCCATCTTTCTGAGTAGCTCAGAGCTCAGATGGCTAATAGGGATATAGGTTCAAATCCTCTTTGATTTCTTTAATTTCTAATTTCTTGGCAGTGCCCTTGACACAGCACAGGGCTCAGTTGTGAAAATGGGTATTACTCATATAAGTCTATCCCCAATGTGAGAACACAACTCAAAACATGGGCTGTGCTTTGGACTGTCAGTAGGAACATTCAGTACAGCATGTTACTTGGTCTGAAGGCCGGAGAGCTACTTGGGACTGTCTGCCCTGGCTAACCATTTACTCACTCTGTGCAGAGAGGGCCACCAAGAACAGAAAGGTGTAGAAGCAAGATACTAAAAAGGCCTGGGGCCAGCCCTAGTGGGAGGGTTTCCCCATTTCACATAAGAGATAGCTGAGGTCCAGAGAACCCAGTTGCCTTAGCCCAGGCCACAGAGGCCACAGTGGAACCTAGCACAAATTGAGTCCAAAGTTCTGCTGTAGAAGGTATTGCTGGGATGGAGAGAAGCAGGCTCCATTTCCCTTTGCTCCCCAAGCTCTCACCCTTCCCAAGAGCTGCTGGCTGAGTACACATGCCCTTTGAACCGCCCTTACAATGTGACTAACTAGGACAGAGTATTAGTCCCGTGTTTAGCAATAAAACTTGAAGTGTCCCAACCCCAGAAGTTATGAAACTTCCTGAGTAGCTCCAGCTTTTCAGAAGCTGGGGCTCCTCCCCTGATGGCGGGAAGACAGCGGAAGGCCAGTGAGACTCTGCTTCCTGCTACCCAAGATACTTGGCTTACTTTATTTCAGCAGCTGTTTTGAGAAATGGGCAGAGAGTGAGGGCGGCTGTGTAGCCCAAGTAGGTGTGGTTATACAGTAGACCCTCTGACTTCCTGCATGAACTCTCTGAAAGAGATTACTCCATAGACAATAATATGCACAAATACTGACAAGACTTCTGGGAATGACTTCAAAAGAAATCTTCATGCACACTTTCCTTCCAACCCCCAAAGTGAACAGCCTCCCTACATGAAGGCATCTGGGCCTATATATACAAGTGGTTTCAGGCCTGAACTAGTCAACTTTTCTCCCCTGATGATGGATAATTACAGTGCAAGCTGTTTTTTTGGCATACATTTCAGTCTCTCTCTTTCATTATATTTGAAGGAAGGGAGTGTGTAGGGATTCTTTAAAGACTCAGGTTACAAACTGCAAAGGGGACCAAGACAGTGTACACTGGTGACCATATACCCTGTCTACAGTGGGGCAGCTGAATGTTGCTTTTTAAAAGTGGAATAGCGTTAGAGCTCATGACTTTTTGGGAGAAGTCCCCAATTCAAATTTTATATAAAAGATTTCCAATTTCAATATTGGGAATTAATCCAACTACTGAAAAATACTCTTGAGGACCAAAGAAACAGATTTACTGGTTGGAATCAGACAGCAGCATGCCTGTTTGCAGTTTCTGGTCTGGACTACAGGTCCCTGAGGTCACTACAATAGAGCTGGTACTAGAAATTGGGTCCCTGGGGTTCCAGCTCTGTGCTTGTCTTGCTTGCAGGCTATAGGTAGGTTCTCCTTACGTCCTTTCCTTTCCTCTTCTTGACCGTGGGCCCATTTCCTTCCCTTGGTGAGTTTTCTGCTGAAATGTTCACGACTCTGAGGGAGTTTATTAAATGAAAGGAAATCAATTATTTTTTGGAGCTGGGAACTGAACCCAGGCCCTCCTGCATGCTCAATGCATGCCCTACCAATAACCTCCAGCCCTATCTTCTATGAAGGAGTTTGTAATAGAACCCCAGACAATTGTACATAAAGTTGTTGTAAGCTCTGAATATCAAAATGTGTCTGCCTCCATCCTTGAGCTGACCCAGAGGACAGGGAGCTGACTGGGAGTTGTAGAGAGCAGAACTCTCTGCACTATCTGAGCTTGAAAACTGGTTCTCTTTGTCAGTACTATGACCTCTGGTAACTTAACTTCTTTAGGCTTGTTTCCTAAGGTTGGTAGTCCCTGACTCACAGAACTGTTGCCAGGATTAAATGAAATCAAGTATGCCAAGTGTTTATCGTGTGTGCACCTCATACCAGATGCTCCCTATATAGAAACAATTCCTGTGATCATTTTATTAAGGGAGGGGCTGGTTATGATTTCCCCATGTTGTGCTCCCCTTCTACCCTGGCTCTTTCCCAGGTCCCCTTTCTACACACAGACACACACAAAAACTCTTTCCCCAGAAAGGAAACTCAGATATCTAGAGAAAAATGGTGAGAAGGCCAGAAAGGAAATGAGAATTGAAGATACTGAGGTTGTTACCTGGGCACAAAAGGAACAGCCATGGGAAGAAATGGATGGTAAATCCTGAGGTCTATGAAGAGATAAAACCATTCTGTGTTCACTTCAGGTCCTGCTGGTGGATCTTTGTAAAGGAACCTTCTTACTGTCAGTAAGTATCTGGGTTCAAATCCCCTGCACACCCACCACAAACTCACCACTCTAGTCTCACCATACATTTTTTTTTGCCCGAGGTGCTGGGGTTTGAACTCAGGGCTTTGTGTTTGCTAGGCAGGTGCTCTACTGCTTGAGCCATACCTCCAAGCCCTCTTTGCTCTGGTTATTTTGGAGATGGGGTCTTTTTGCCCAGACCGACCTGGATCTCGATCTTCCTATTGTATGCTTTTTGATCTTGCTGGGATGACAGGCAAGTGCCAACCACACCCATCTTCTTTGCCCTGGCTGGCTTGGAACTTCGATCTTCCTGATCTCAGCCTCCCATGTAGCTTCAGATGACGTACGCATGCACTGTGCCTAGCTATTAGTTGAGATGGGGGTCTCATAACTCCCTGTCCAGGTTGGCCTTGAACCACAATCCTTCTGATCTCAGCCTCCCAAGTAGCTATGATCACAGACATAAATCACCAGCACCCAGTTCAAAATCAAGGTGGCCACAGGCACAGATCTAGATGCCATCACCATAAGGTAACCAGTGTCTTTTCAGCAAGGGAAATAAATCAAGTCCAGAGGACTGAGAGGATCCCTTCTAATGTTTAGTGTTAAAATGGGGGAAATGAAATAGCTTCTGTGGTTTCCCTGCAGGTGGTGACTGGATGTAATATGAGTGTGGCACTCATGTCTTCCTTATGGCTCTTCTGACACCCCTTACTTTGCACCTCCTTTCCAGAGCTTGACCTGAACTGACTCTGTTCCCTCCTAGGTTGGTGATGAAAAAGACATCCTACCACCCAAGCTTCAGGATGACATCTTAAGCTCTCTTGGTCAGGGGATCAATGAGTTAAAGAGTAAGTCCTAGACCCCTCTTATTTTGGATTTCTGCAGGGAGCCTGAGGACATGATTCCCTTCTAGACGCCTAGATCCTGAAAATGAGGTTTTAACTAAAGCAGTCGCAGAGAACCCACACTTAGGCTCCCATTTCAATCTGTCAGTCATTATGAACCCTTCCCCACCTGTTTTTCTGGGAGCTTTTGGTCTGCACTGGAAGTTGTACTTAGAGGTGACTTTGGGTAATTTTATCCTTCTGCTATAAGATGGCTTTTATTTGCCCCCTGCAGCTGCAGAACAAATCAACGAGCATGTTTCAGGCCCCTTTGTGAAGTTCTTTGTCAAGACTGTGGGTCACTATGCTTCCTACATCAAGTGGGAGGCCAATGGGCAAGGTCGCTTCCAAGAACGGTCCTTCTGCAAGGCTCTGACCTCCAAGACAAACCGCCGATTTGTGAAGAAGTTTGTGAAGACCCAGCTCTTTTCCCTTTTCATCCAGGAAGCTGAGAAGAGCAAGAATTCTCCTGCAGGTACTGTGACAGTCCCAAATATCTCATCCCAGAGGGTCCCCTCTAGGATGAGAGGAGACCCACAGAACAGCTGCAAATTTTATCAGTGGGTTTGGAAGGAAGTTACCTGAAACCTGAGAAAATGCCTCGTTGGCTGATGTTTTGTGAAAGTCAGTCTTCATCAGCCAGCAGGAATGGGCCCCTTTGTCTGTTTTATTCTAGAGTTAATTCCTGTTAGTTACCCTATTTGTTAAGCTCCTTTTTGGGCCAAACTGAATACTGGATATCCAGTGAAGACTTGAGAACCCTGGTAGGGTTAGGACTGTGTGCATGTGTGTGCACACACATGGGCATTGAAGGGGTATGTGCAGTGTATTTTTTGATCCTTAGGTTCATCACAGTCTATCTGACTAGATTAGGTGCTTCTAAACCTGTATTTGAACCCACAGGCTATTTCCAACAGAAAATACTTGAATATGAGGAACAGAAGAAACAGAAGAAATCAAAGGAAAAGACTGTGAGATAAGAGATGTGGTGAGCAGGAGTGATTAGACTACAGGCCAGTTCTGGACTTTGGCCCTGCCAGTGTGGCAGGACCGGTGAAGCTGAGCCCCCAGAATCCACAGCCTCCTTCTGAGTCCTGGTAACCAGGTCTTACTCCATACTGGTGTGAGTTTGGGATCCCCAGCACCTGCTTTTGAAGGACTTTGAGGGCTTTAACCGAAGCTCACAGAACTGTACTAAGCTGCATTTATTTTGGCAGAGGTAACACAGTGGGAAACTGTAGTACCGGTGTTGTAGGTGCTTGGTTAGAAGTTGCTGCAACTGCCATCTGCTGGGAGCCACTTTTACTAGATTTTCAACAGAGAAAACCGTTGTGACCCAAAGGCATTGCTCCCCACTTTTTTATAAAAAAGAGGTATATGGACATGTGAGGAGAATGAGAATAAAGATGAAAATCTTGTTGCTAACATGTGTGTCGTATGGCCATATGAGGACATACAGAGGGGAATAAACTGAAGTGCAAGTGGAGGACCTGGTCATGTGAGCAGTTTTTGGGGTCACAGAATCATAGGGGCCAGCAGTTCCACTTGGAGGAGCGATAAGCGCAGATACTGTAAGAGAAGCCGCGCACTAGACAAAGGCAACAGTCTGGTTCTAGTCAGGTGGGCTTCCAGAATCCAGGGAGGACAGGCTGCCAGCTAGAAGGAGGCAGCTGCAGCCGAGGGTAGCTAGAGAAGAATCTCAGGCCACAGAAGCTAGTAAAGAACACTACATGGCTTCCATAAAGAGGCCTTTTGCCATAACCCGTCTGGACGTGTCCTTTTCCTTCAGTCTTAGAGCTCCCACATCCAACTGCTTGTTATTTTGAGAAGCCCAGCTCAACTCTTTAGCTAAAGGGAGGATCCCTGAATTGACATTTTTTTCTTTGAGATCACAGAATCACAATTTTAAGAACCCAAAGGATTTTAATGGTCACTTTGTCCCTCCTCCCTCTGTACCAGATGGCTTATTTGAAAACCACAAGAGAAGCAAACATTGTCTTTCAAAACTTCCACCTTTTTAAAAATGTTTTTATTCAAGTGTGACCCACAGAGGTCTCTGAATTCTACACAAAGAATACAAATGTTTTTGGAATACTGAACTCAAGTTAAGCCAGTGTAATTTGATCTGGGGAGCACAGAGACCTACTGCAGGTGGCAAATGTCCTTAATGTCTTCTACAGCTAGAAAGAATCATATCTTTTTGAGGTAGTTTATTGCAGAGGCCCCTAAACATAGTTGCACCTTGAAAGGTTTCAGTACAAGAACCAGAATCTGATGAAGCTTATGAATATATGGGGGGCTCTGTCCTTGATCTACCAAATCATCTGTAGAGATCTGACTGGAAGAGGCAGGCAACCACAGCATTGGGAGGAGTCCCAGGTCAGCTTGGGCTATACAGTGATCGCTATCTCAAAAAAAAAAGACAGGACCTGGAACTCCTTTTTCTTTTTTGATGGTATTGTGTGGTTTGAATTTAAGGCCTTGTGCTTGCTAGGCACTTGGTCACTCCTCCAGCCCGTCTGCTTAATATTTTAGGTAGGGTCTCGAGTTTCAGACCAGGGCTAGCCACAGACCACGGTACTACCGGTCTTGCCAAGGATAGTGGGCATGGACCACCATGCCTACCCTAGAAACCTACGTTTTCTAAAATTGTCTTTTTGGTGATTTTGGTACTTGGCTAGGTAAATGAACACAAGAATCAAGGCCAGTTGAGGTTTTTACAAATGTGCCTTTGATCTGACGCAGATATCTAGGGCTAAAGGAAGCACACAATGAATATTTCAGTGTTTCTCAGACTCCCTTTATGCTGAAAGAATCTAGCCTACACATACTTCAATTAGCCATAACATCTTGGTTTGCAGCTTTACTTCACAAAAGCCCAGTAAGGTGTGGTACTGGACCAGAATTCAGATCTGCATTCTAGACTACATTCTGAAAAATATCAATACTGTGTGACAGTGGTACATCGTCATCTTCTCCAGGCCTCAATTTCCACAGGAGATAATGAACACCTATTCTGTCTGTTGAAATAACTTGAGTAAGACAATAGGTGCAATTAACCATGCCACACAAGAATTAGCTTCCTAGATGTTGAAGACATTGCTAGCAAAGTCAGTGAAAGATTTCCTTTCCTGCTACAGTCTAGCAAAGAAATTAAATATCTACCTTTCACTGGTAATCCAGATCTATAATAAATTGATGGGACCTTAAAGGTGCAAGAAAGCACAATTGTGGCTGGTAGGTAAGGCAATGCAGCTACTGTTTTTATTCCTGATAACAGAACAAGGTATAAATAGAAGTCGATAATAAAGTACCTTATTTTAACTCTAAACTTTTTCCTGTCTCCCTCTTCATTCAAGCAATGGGACATCATGGATAACTGAAGCAGATCTGGTTCACAGAGGACATGTTCCTATTTCAAACTATAAAATACAGAAAAGCAGAATGCCAGAAAAGGAGTGCAAAGGGACCCCCATGGACTCCCAGACAATTACTGAAAATGTGGGGGAAAGGTGTGAGATTCCTAAATTCCTAAATGGACTAGTTTCCCTTTTTAGAGTTAAACTGTTTCTGTAAGATAGGAAGGTCACATGACACATCAGGACAACACAGCTGACCAAACTTCCTTATTTATTAAAGAACAGAAATAAATTTTGCTTAAAATTTAAAAAAATGACATTAAACTTTGCTTATCTTTTTACTGAACAAAACTGAGAAAAAAGCTGGCTTGCAGATCATATATTTATTTAAAAAAATAAAACAGATTGATAAAGTTACCACATTATTCTGCATGCTAACAGGACTTCCCAAGCCCATGAGAGATGCCATTTCTTGAGCAATAAAAAAATTATTTCCTCAACAATGTAAAGATAGGAAACCTTTCAATCCAAATTCAAGGTTTTTAATCACTCGTTTTACCTCATAACCTAATAGCATGAATCTGTTCCACAGCTGAGCTCCTTACTAAAGAAAGCTTGAGAAGACACTGAACAAGGATGTTACTAAAAGATGATAATGTGTTAAAATTAAAAGCAACCATCTTTTGACCTGAAAATATTCTACATTAGAAATTTCCACCACTGGGGATCTGCTCCTCATGACGGTATTTTTCCAGGATAATCACAAACACATGGCATTTTTTTCCTGCATGCTTTCTTGGGCCAAACTCTGTTTGACAACATGTACAATTTATAGGATGAGACCTGAAATTCCCATTCTCACACAGGATAGTTAGGGAGTGTTACCAACAACAAAGAATGAAAGTTATACAACATTGATTATTATAAATTATATTTGTTCTTATCCACCCCCATTCTCCTTAGTATGTTCAGATTCTCTCCTGTGGAAAACATAAGTTTCCTATGTAACACCAACTGCATCATTAATGATGATTAGAATGAGCTGTAGAGACCTTGATTCTGAAGACATGTATGTGCAGATGAGACGCGATCTGATTGCAGACACTGACACAGTAGCGGATCAAATCAAAGAAAGAGAAGACCTGGAGAAAAAAAAGAGACTGTTAGATTCTCAGCACCTGCTCAGGCTCTTCCTAAGCTTCCTGGAAGGACAGAAGGTGGCCTTTCCTGATGATTAATCACCACACTCTCAGACAGGAAAGAGTTGAAGTTCTGTGGGACATATTGTCTGAAGTAACTGCTCAACTCTGCCACTACAGCCAAAGACAACACATAAAGAAATGGCTGCTGGGTAAACAGGCTGTGCAGCCACAGGATGCAGTTTGAAATTTCTGTTTTACACAATCAGAAATTTGGAATTTATGAGCACCAACGTAGGCAAGACTAGTAAGAAAAACAATAAGAAAAGGCTAAAATATGAAGTCATAAGGAATGCTCACAACCCCTCATATGTGTGATCTTTCTCTCAGAGCTGGCCCACTGAAACAAGAAAAGAAGTAGCTTCCAAATCATGAAAGAAGACAAGAAGACAGTGCAATACATACCAGGGCAATCCAAAGGACAATATATTCATCAATGAAGCTGTTAAAATACTGGTCCAGAAACAAAAGTGCTGGACCTATGAATGCTGTGTCATGTAAATGCATTTCACTTTTCGTCATGTGTGCAACCTATGAGTAGAATAATAGCAATGAGGTGGGCATTTTCATATTAGAGCAACTGCAAACAACATAGTAAATCAAATATTAAGTTTCAAAAATTATGTAGCAATGGCTGTTGAATTTCCAAAACTAAAAACCCAACAACATGAAACTGTGAGAAAGAAAGGCATATACCACATCAACAAAGTCTACAAAAAAATGCTTTTTACCAGGAGACTTAATATGTGTCCAGGCAAAGATAAAGAGTGCAGATAAAGTGAACAGTCAAGTTAAGCAGTGGACAGAATGGTGAAAAGTTGTAGAAGTTCAAAGAACTTCAGGCAAACTCAAATTGTAGCTTCACAAGAGTAAAAAGAGCTCCCATAAAGATGTCAAGAGATTTTTACTGCAAACTCTAAGACTGCTAGAGAATGGACAGAATGAAAAGTAAGTCCATAAAACCAAAGTAAGATGAACATTAAAACAAGTGAAAATTGAGGTGCTTACCACAAGCTTATTAGTGATTTTAGCTGATACAAAACCAAATGTCAGTATATAAAGACAGGGATGTTTTTCAAAAAGCTGAACTGCTGATTTCTTGTAGATCATTACAGCTAATGTAATCACTGATCCAATATGGAGAAAAGGAGAAAGGACACTTGTCCCCTGCACAGAATGAAGAGTTAACAGCATTCAATATGCACCAACCAGATGCTACATGGCTCTACCATAAAATACTTCAACACAAGCTTTTCTCTCTCTCCTCCTTCCCTTCCCCTTTCTCCCTCTCTCCCTTTCTTTTTCTCTTCTCTTTTTTTTGAGACTGGGGCTTATTATGTAGCCCAGGCTGGCCTTAGATTTTTCAGGTAGGGTCTCTTGCTTTTTGCCTGGGGCCAGCCTTGGACTGAGACTCCTGAGTAGCTGGTATTACGGGCATGCACCAGCACAACCAGCTACAATCCCAAATTTCTAGAACTTCATGGTGCCTGTCCACCAACAATTCCTACAAACTGAACCCCAGAACAGCTAACCAGCGTGGACTGTTAGGCAGAAGATGAGGATTTTACCTGGCAGGTCAGGCTTATTTTTACATAGCAGGTCATACTTTCTAAAATAGATGCATATATACATGTGTGCATGCACAAAAATTTGGGTATATAAGCATAGAAAAGTATGTCTGTATATAAAACTGAGCAGTTTTAGACAATTTTTGAAGGATAAGTAGAAATTCTAAATTAATAAACGATTTTGTACCTCTCAAATGAAAGACAAAGTAACTACAAAATCATGCCCTAGTTTGGAAATTACTGATAATCTTGAGATATACTCACTGCTATCGTTGATCCATTTTTGCCAACACCACCTGTGAAGATTACACGGAAGTAATTTGTACAGGAAAATATGGTCCCTGCCACAGTACAAAGTGCAGGAAAAATTTTCATTTGAATATTCAGCACTGGAATCTTTAATAGATACAGAGAAAAAAACAATTAATATATATATAAACCAAAATAAGAGAGCAGTACAGTCAAATATTTGATTCATAGTCCCAAAAGCTCTCCATTCCTTCCAATTTAGTTAATATTTAAAAGTAATAGAAGGTTCCTTCTCTTCTTTTTGTAAGCAATGTAATAAGTCTCAAGAGACGAGGCTTTATAAACATCTCACTTCTGACACCTACCTTAAAAAAAAATCTGACTTTATTAATTTGTGTTATAAGCTAAGTAAAGTTTTTCTAACATACCCCAGAAATCTGGCAACAGTGAATTATGCTGTCTTCTGGCATTTTCGTAAAAGTGGCTACCTTGTCTCTAACTTTGTGTATTTGTTGAATTTTACCTCTAGGTCTATGGTACACTCCTAATTGTTATAAGGAAGTATGGAACATAAAAGAACAGATTTTAACATCTGCAAAGTAAGCCAGGCCTGGTGGTGTATGCCCATAATCCCAGCACCCCCAGAGGCTGAGACAAGCTCTAGGCCAGGCTCTGCTACACAGAAAAACCCTGTTCCTCCCTCCCCCCAAACAAAAACAACAAGAAAAACAAAACAAACCCCCTGCAACATAGAGAATGGAAGGGAAAGTTCTATTCAGAAGAGTTCCCAATTGTTAGGATATAGACAACTAGTAAGCTGAGAGCAACTGAGATGGTATTCATATCCCAGAGAAAGAATACATCAAGCACACCCAAATAGGCATAGCCCTACAATACTGTAACTCTAAATTTAACATACTATTCAGAAAAGTAAATATTATTACTGATATAGGGCTGTATACTGAGAATGTGGACTATCTACCTAAAGTAAGGGGCAGGGAGCTGAGTTTGGTAACATGCATTTAACCTTGCAAGCACAATACCCATCATTTAAAATAAAAGAACTTGCACCAACTATTTTTTTTTTTTTGGCAGTATTGGGGTTTGAGGTCAGGGCTATGCAGGTGCTCTTCCACTTGAGCTACTCCTCCAGCCTGCACCAAACTTTTAAGACCATTTAAAATTCTCTTTGTTGTACCCCTCCCTTTGCTACTCTGGTTACAAAATTTGTCCAACATGCATTGAAAGAAACCCACAATAAGATAAATGCTACATTCTAGTAGTATAAACAAATGATTATAGGAACAAGGTTACAAAAGCCCACAGCAGTTTGACAGGCAATGACTGCTTACAATGAAAACATTTTAATTGGGGGTATCTATACTTTTCAGGGCTATTCCTTGCCTACACTTTTAAAATCAAATAGAAAAACAGGACATTTGCTCTTTGTTTAGTGCATACAAAACCCCAGTAGCCTGATGTAGTGGTGCCAGCATTTAGGAAGCTGAGGCAGAAAGATGGCAAGTTTGAGAGGATCCTGGGCTACATATTGAGTTCCAGGCCAGCCTGGGCTACCCAGAGAGTTCCAGACCAGCTTGGGCTATGTAGTGAGATCCTGTTCCAAAACAACAACAAAAAAATAATTTAAAAAATGCCCCAGAAACACCCCAAAATTCTCCCCCCCCAAACAAAACAGAAAAACAAAAAACTAAAACAAAAACCTAGAAGATTGGCAGAAATAAATCTTAATGTTTAGATACTCCATTTCTCCAAAACTCTCAAGAACTCACTTTGTTTACACAACTGACCTCTTGTAAAATTGTACCAAAAAAAAAAGAAATCAACTGTTCAAATTTCAAGATGTACTACAGCAGTCTTTAGTTTTCTAAAATAAAACAGGTCAACCTAAAGTCAAGTCGAGAACTTTACAGAGCATCCTAAATGGTCCTCTTCCTTCCCCAATGATATCTAATTCCTAAAGCTCAATTTCAAAACTTGTTTCCAAGAAAGGAGAAAAACCAACACTATGAAATTCAAGATACTGTTTTCTGCTCTAGTTCAGAAAACTAGAGACATTACAATCTAACTCTGATACACCTGACTGGACCTCAATATTCTGGCTATTTCTCTACTTCCAGTGTCTCCTGCCATCTCTTCTTACTTTTCCCTCCATAGAGACAAAGGACATCTCTGTCTCTGGCAAAGAGGGCCAATACTACACCTGCCTAGATTCCAAGTGAAGCAGGACCTTACTCCACTCAAAGGGCATCCCCATATTAGTGCCAACTGTGTATTAGAGCCATTTGTGTCACAACTGAACTGACTGACATCATAACTATACGTTATGTTATAACTATATATGCATATAACTATAGTTATGTTTTAGGATCAAGGAAATGGTGATCCTTTGAAAGAAGAATAAACACAACATTAAAAAAGCCAAGCAAGGCCTAGGGGAGTGGCTCTAGTGAGTAGAGCACCTACCTAGCAAGCATGAGGCCCTGAGTTCAAACCCCAGTACTGTAAACAAACAAACAAACAAACAAAAGCCAAGGAAAGTAGTATATGGCTTGGATCACAAAGTAAGCAAGCTAAGACCTAAGAGCAAAGCATTAAAAAGCTTTCTAGGGTTCTTATCACTCTGTTATACATGTTAGCTATGTACATAAAATATAATCTCCTGAGTGTAACATGTTTGAATTGATTTTTGTATTCTTTCCTAGGGTCCTGGCTATTGTAGGTGCTCAATACAGATTTGTTGAATGAAGATTAAGATCTTCCCCCTTTCTCTTACTGTGTATGCAGAATTCCTGTTTGGGGAGAGTAAGAAGAAATATCTTGTTCCCACATTAACATTGAAAAAGATGCTATGACAAAATGTGAGGCAAAGTGAAGGGAAAGCTGGATTCAGAGGAATCCTAGGTCTTATCAGGTGATTCCTTAACAACTGGCACCAATGGAACCACTTACAAAAAGCACTAGAAGTGTTGTCATTTTTACCCCAGAATCAAGATCGAGGAGGGTGGGGCATGTTTTCTCTTTCCTAATTTTTCTGTCATCAGAAAAAGGTGGCTAAAGTGCATTTACTTTATAGAAATAGACAAAGAGCTATTCTATAAATAAAGGTGTTTTCAGAACACTCTAGGCTTGCCTAGAGTTTGAGAAGACTACTGAAATTAACTCCTTTGGGTTGTGGTATCTTCACAAACGGCCAGGGGAAAATCCTCTGGATTTGTGACATGAATGTAAGCATCCAAGTATTATCAATTTAATTCATTTTTAAGAATGTTAAGAGATAAGGGCTGGCAGTTTGGTTTAAGTGGTAGCGTGCCTGCCTAGCAAGTGCAGGGCTCTCTGAGTTCAACCCCTAGTACCACCAAAAGATCCCCAAAATAAAAAGCTTGAAAAACATTTTAAATTCTTAGCACCTCTACCATATTACAATAGGCATATTACAATAGGCAAGTTTTGGTTCAATAGTTTGCATTAATGCAGACTTTGAACATTAATATGTAAATTAATAGGGTTTATAGGAAAAGACATCATTTTAAGATTAGGTACTTTCTTCAAAGAATGTGGGAATGCCTCTTTGTAAATCAATTTAATGTTGACAATCGTAAATGTCAACACAATTATACAGTGTCCACCAAGTATTTAAGGAAAATCACTATGTCTGAATTATTTCAGTGTAAGATCACTTTTTAAGTGTCATATTCAAGGACTGGGGTATAGCTCAGTAGACAGCCTACCTAGCATGTATGAGGAACTGGCTTTGATCCTCAGTACAGCAAAAAGAAGTCTTTTAGTTCAAGAATGACAGGCAATTTGCTACATAAATTTTTCAGTCCTATCAAATGATCCTGAAACTGCAACTGTCATAGCACACATCCATCTGCTTTAAGGGAATTCTAAAAGGTGTCTCATGATTTAATGCATATTCAATCAACTATTACACTTAAAAGAATCAAATGTCAGTGAAAGGAACCATGAGTGGATTATGTGGGTTTCTTCCAAAAGGAGAACATTCTCTCTTTCTCTCGGCATCACTGAGGTTTGAACTCAGGACTTCAAGCTTGCTAGGCAGGTGCTCTACCACTTGAGCCATGCCTCCAGTCTCCTCCCACCCTTCTTTTTTTAAGAATGAGATGATAGAAGAGAGTTCCAAGACATTTCAAAAGGAAATATTCAACACACAGAAAAACATTCTTTGTTTCTTGTGATGTATAAAGCACACTACACCTAAAATTAATTTTCCTTAGAAAAACAAAAATGAGTCCCTCTCCCTGGAAAACAGCCTGTAGTAGAAACCTATCTCTTTGGGGAACAAAAATAGCAAGGAATGGGTAATCCAAATACAGTAGATATAAATCACTTACCTTTGAAAAATGGCTGATCTTCTGGAATCAACCTTATGAAGACATTTTCACTGTTTTTGCTTTTACCATAAATTTGCTTTCTAAATATCAGTAGAAGTCTTTTAATTTCATGAAGATTTGGAAAGCAATGTCTATTTTATGGCCTCTATGTCAAAAGGTAAGAAAACTTCACATGTGAGCCCTAAATATCTGCTCTCCGTTCTGTTCTGGCATACAAACAAATGGAAGCACTATATGTAGTAACTGTTCCTGAACTAACATAATGTAATTCAAAACAGTATATTCAGAGCCAGGTGTGATGGCTCACACCTGTAACCCCAGCTATGTGGGAGGCAAAGATCAAGAAGATTGAGATTTAGCAAAAAGTTCAAAGTTCAAAGACCCCATCTTGATCAATAAAAGCTGGGTATGGTGGTACACGCCTGTCACCCCACCTACACGGGAAGTGTACAGAGGAGAATCAAAGTCCAAAAATGTGAGGCCCTAGCCTCACAAAAGTGCCTAGGGATGTGGCCCAAAGTGGTAGAGCGTCTGCACAGCAAGTGAGAAGTCCTGAGTTCAAAACCCTGTACTGCCAACCCTCTCCTACTTCCTCTCCAGTATATTAGTAATGGATGTAAGCAAAGTAAAACCAGAAATGGTCCAAATCCAACTTGAGAGTCATAAAGTTTTGAATTTTGGAACATTTCAGATATCAGACTTTCAGATTAGGGATGCACCACTGGTAACAGTCTACATCAATACCGCAAAATGATCCAGAATCTGAAACACTTCTGGTCTTGAGCATTTATTCAATTTAATTAAACAATTAACTTATTTATTTGGTGGGGCTAGAGTGTGAACTCAGGAGTCTTTACTTATAAAGCAGATGCTCTCCCATTTGAGCCACACCTCTGCTTATTTTGGAGATGGGGTCTCTAGAACTACTTGCCTGGGCTGATCCCCCCTATCTCAGCCTCCTAAGTAGCTAGGATTACAGGTGTGAGCCACTGGTACCTGGCTCAGTCGGAAGCATTTTAGATGAGTGATATTGAACCTGCGGCCTGAGGTCAATTATGGGAATCTGTGCTGGGAGAGGCTTAAAGGAACACTCAATATTTCACTAGGTCTCCAAATGTTACCAGGGAAGTCAAGTCCTTCCCTTTTAGTTTAATGATGGCATCATTAAATAGCATCATAAATAAGAACTGGGGGTTGGGAAATGTTTTCTTGCTGTAATTTCCTCACTAATTCTGAACTTGGTTGGTCTGGGAACTTCATTTCAGTAAATCTGAGTTTCACAGGTAACTTGAAAAAATATATTGTGAGATGGAGGTACAGGTTAAGTGGAGAGCACCTGCCTAGCAAGTTTTAGGACTTGAGTTCAAACCCTAGAACTGCCAAAAAAAAAGTTCTAGGTCAGTCTGGGCTAGGGCTAACAAGGTGAGTCTGCTTTGAACGAAACAATACAAAGCAAAAAAAAAAAAAAAAAAAAGAAAAGGAAAAAAACCCAACAAGAATAAAAAATCTTGAATCAGAAAAAACACTCCCAAATAAAATAGAAATAAGTGATTATATTATCTCAATTACATGTAAAGATAGGAAAAAAGTAGTTGACCTTAAGAAAATTTTATCAACTGTGCACATGTACAGGTTATACATACAAATCCTGCTGAGAAAGATAAAAAGCATACCTGAAGCAATTTGCTGCCAGGTACCCCCTAAAAGATAGGGATATGCATATAACACATGTACAGAGAATTTCTTCTGTGTTCCATGCATTCCCATACTTAAGGATAATTAGGTATATAAATCAGGTGCTGCCTTGTTTTCCAAAGATCAAACCAGAAACCATTTTTCTTTTGTTTTATTTTTTGTGTTTAGTTTTGGGCAGTACTGGATCGATTGAATTCAGGGACTAGTACTTGTTAGGGAAGTGTTCTAGCACTTTGAGCCATTCCCCCAGACCCAGAATTCTCATTTTTTGCTATTCCTATAATGAAACTCTATAGGCAATCTATATAAGTTCAAGACATTCAAATTGATTTTTTTGGGGGGGAATTTTGGTATAAAACAGAAAGCCTATGAAAACAATAATTAGTGATGTAGGGGTAGAATTTAGGCTTTCTGATATGGAAAAGGAATCCATTCTTACCTTCCTATAAGGTTAAATTGTAAAAAACAAAAACAGTAACAACAACAACAAAAAACCACACACATAAAAACCCAACTAATCTATTAAAGAGCAAAGCTAAAATCCATATCTCTCTGCACATTAGTCTCAAAAGCCAGTATGGTCTCTAAGTGACAGTCTAAGATATATGAATGATATTACCTACATGAATGGTTTCAGAATTTTTCTGGCTTACTGAAATGTTTCTATTCCCTCATCTCTTCCCTCTTCACAGTCCATCCTCTCAACAAAAGGTAAAGGATTAACGACTGGCAACAAACACTTAGGGCAGAGTATCACTGCACTCCCCGAAGTGAGATTCACCATGTGGCTTCAAAAAGCAAATTATGTAAGGGAAAAGTCTTGCCCAGTAAATTTCCCTTATACTTTCAAACTAATCTGAGCTTTAAGAATTATCTTCATTTAGGCTTAGTAAATGTTAAGTAAAATCACAGCAAATAAATGAAACTATTTCCAAAGGCTGGTGGTGGTGAACAGTATTTAACTAATGACCAGGGAGTCTAAACTACTTAGACCCTAATCTCAAAGAATACATTCAAATTATAAACTGGGCATGGTGGCACACACCTATAATCCCAGCACTTGGAGGCTAAAGCAAGAGAATTGTGTTTTTGAGGATAGTCTGGGCTACATAACAAGACCCTCCCTGTCTCAAAAAAAAAAAAAAAATTAAGAGCAGCATCAGCTTTCCTGAGTGCTTATTATTTTGATAGACACAATTCTAAGTGTTTTACACATATTAACTGACTTAATCCACAAAATAACCTTATGAGATGGGTCCTTTACTTTACGAGCAGTAAACTCAGCCAGACTGAGTTACATAACAGGTTAAGTTCAAACAGTAGGCAGTGGAGCCTGGATCAAATGAAGGTGGCTTGGTTCTAGAGCTTGTGCTCTTGATCCCAATGATGCATTCCTCTCTCAAGTTTGTGGGAAAGAATCTGTTTGTATATTTCAGGTCAGGTCGAAAATCACGTTCCTGGCTTAGTAATCAATCCTGTGGCACTGACTTCATTCAAGAAGCATTTATGCTGCTTTTTTTTTGTGTGTGTGCCAGAGTTAATTTCACAACCCCAAATTTGTTACTCGGCTTTAAGCATATGACAGCTAAACTGGAAGACTGAAATCTCAGGAAGAGAATAAAAACTCTAATTCAACCTTGTTACTGGTTAACTTGTTACATTACCTGCTGTTTCATTTGTAAAAACAGGATGATGATAATGACTCAGATTCTCAATGGCCTTCAAGAACAGAGCCCTGGAATGGACCTAACCTATATATAATTCCAAACAGTAAAATTCACCATGCTCTAAAGAGAACTTTGTGTCCTGTTTGCTGTGACTTTCTGTTTTCAGGAAAAAAAAAATTTACATATTACCCTTAAACTGGATTATCCTATATTAGAAAACACAAGCAAAAGACAACATGCATTACATGGGATACACAATGTGAACAAAGTTACCATAGATTGCCAAAAAGGTGGTCCTCCAATCACTGCCAGCAAATGCATGATTATTATGAAGATTTGCACTTCAGTCACATCAATTCTGATTAGGTACAAAAAGCCAAAAAAGCAGAATTACTCAAAACAATTTCAAGTTAATTACTTGCAAGCAAAGCAGCATTCCTCTATCATGCACAATAGAAAAAACATCTCAAATATTGAGCAAAGGGGAAAAGGAGGTATCAAAAGTTTATATGAACAAAATCATAAAACCCAGAGCCTTTCAAATTTAATTTGATAAATTTCAGAGCAATAAAAACCCCTCCTTTTCAAAGGAAATTTCTGATTTATTGAAACTAGGCTGTAACTACAGCTTAACCTTTCCCACCAAAAAGAACTAAAAAGCAAAAGCAAACAAACAAAAAACCCCAACTCTCCCCCCAAACCAAAAAAAAAAAAAAAAAAAAAAACCACCCCAAAATAACAGCAAAAAAGGTGTGTGGAAAATTTTGAATATCAAGCAGAGAATTACATTGCATTGTTATGTAATATGAAATCCTGAAGTAAGTACTTTGTAGTATCAAATGAAATGGTGAACTTTAACTAAAGTAAAACAAATCATTAAGACCTTGTAAAATTTACTGCCCTTTAGATATGTCATTTAATACCTGCCATATTTATTATTTATGTAACAAGATATTTCATCAAATTCTTATTCTTAACTACCTTCACATTTCTGGAAAGAATATACTGAAAGCAGCAAGGGATTAGCTTTGGAATTACTGAAAATGATTTTATAGACAAGAGGCAAACATGATGCAAAAGACAAGGTAGCAGGAATTAGTAGCCTGAAAGTCGGAAGAAAAAAAAATATATATATAGGCAAAGAGACTGAGTGAAGCATACGCTGGCATATCCCTTCTGTAAACTACCACTTCATGTAATCTTGACATTCTCCTTAGCAGATTACTGGATACGAATGATTTTTAATGTTTAAAATTTATCCTACATGGAATTTGTTTATCCAAGGCTTTCAGTATAATTACTTGTAATAGTAAAAAGTTTAAAATCTTGCAATGAGGGAATCATCATATAAATTATGGTATATCTATATAATGGAATATTCTGCAGCTTTAAAGAGTGGGGAAGTACAGCTTCCTAAATAATGATATGGAAAAGCAATATATTTGTAGCTATACATTATCTATCTATCTATCTAAGTGTATGTAATTGCAGAATGTGTATGTGTTAAAAAAAGAAGAAACATAACATTGATCTTTAATTTTTTATTAATAATGGCATAACACAGTTCTAGAAGGATACATTACAAGCTAAGAAAAGCAGCTACCTACTTGGGGAGGATACTGTGGGAACTGGGCATCTGAGACATGAGGACAAGGAGACTTTTCACTGTTTCACATTTATATAGCACTGGTTTTTCAACAAAGTGAATAATTATCTATTAACAACAACCGGTATAAGAAAAATAGGTATCAACCACAGCAAGGGGGGGTCAGAACAGAACCCCCATTTCTAAAATTGATACTTAAAGCAGACAATCGATAATGTGAGCTTAAGATGTGTAGCTCATGCTTACGATACATAACTGGGTTGAAACCAGTCTCTTCCAACTAAAAACAACAACAAAAAAAGATCTTTATTTGCTCAAGAATGTTTTTTAAATAGATGTTTATTTAGCTGCAAATAGTGATGTAGTTATCTTGATATACACATTTCTTGGAAAAAAAAATGGTCTGAATTAGGCTAAAAAGAATCTGTAGAGCTGACCTGTGAGTGATGTTGCCAATAAGGGGAATTACACTCAGAAGCAGACTCAGGAGACTAAGCAGGTAGGTGTCAAAGATGTTCGACTCTGTCTTGGGTGGAGGAGGGCAGACATCTTACATTTTGCTGGACATATGAAGTAGCCTTTTAGAAGGGGGAAGGGCCAGAAGTATAGAATTACAAAATAAAAATGGAGGGAACCTCATGCAATTAATCGTACTGTGGATGCACATAAAGGAGAAGAGGAAACATGAAAGATATTTATAAAGTCTCAAATCGGGATTCTTAAGGAAAGTTTTAAAGAATAGCCTGTTTGAAATTATGAAGACAGAATTTTCTAACATATTCAGATACTGTCATTGTATTTAGAGCATTGTATTTAGTGCTTTAATATTAGGAGAGGGCTAGGGAAAACTTACTTACCAGTAGGTAGGGAGAGATATTTCTCCTGTTTGTTTATCTGATTTAGAGTAATCCTCTAAACTCCAGGATGATGCTCTTCTGCTCTGAATCATGAGAACTGCCTATCAGTATTCCTGAAGTGTGGCTCTAATCTTTACTAAGAATAAAAAGGGTATAGTGTGAAGCTATCCCCAAAGATGGGAAATAAAAGAAGTAAAGAGAGACAGGTGGCAGAAATGATTAATAATAAATAAAAGAGTTGTTGATTTTGTTTAGAAGATAGCTAGTCACATAACAGTCCCTTCTGACATCTTCCCATTAAAAACTCTCTCAGTCTGGGCTCAAATTACTATAACACTTATGGGGAGGCTCATTTCAGTATTTTTGGTCACACAGAAAATTATAGTTGTTTAGAAGGAAGGATATTATGGGAAGGAGTGTGGCATCTCTGTAATCACTTCCTTTTCATTATTCTACTACTTTAAAAATGGAAAACAATGGGTGATAATATTCCCAAGTGTTGGGATTATTCTTTAAAAACAAAAGGAAACTGACCACCACTAGCACACCAAAAAAAAAAAAAAAAAAAAAACAAAAAAAAAGCCCTACAGGCATGTGATGGTATACTAGCACCCAGAAAACCAATTGGTTTTAAAAAAATGTGGAAAAACAAATGTCTTATCTGTAGCATTAGATTAGATTTCTAAAGCCTAAAGTTTCAAAGGGAGAAAACAATTTTCAGTAGCCACGAGGGCATCTAAACATCTCAAGTAATACTGCTTTAAAATAATTTCCTTGGGGTGGGAGTGTGGCTCAAGTGGTAGAGTTGCCTAGCAAGTGCAAGGCCCTTGAGTTCAAACTCCAGTACCACCAACAAAAGAAAAAAAGACCTCCTAGTTTTACTTTTTAAAAAACAAGTTATCAAAGGACAAGTATCCCAGTGGCTCCACACCAAAATGAAAACTCTAGTCAGAACACATTTAAATTACTACAAGCCAGAAACAAACATTGTTCTGATCCCTGTCACAAAAGAAAGATGGGGGGAAAAAAGCAAACAAGTTTTGGAGCCTAAGCTGTAAGTGGCAGTCCAAGGTCAAAATAATCTTCAACATCCATATTAAATGCCTTTGGATCAATCATTCCTGACAGCACCAGTCTAAGGGTCTACTGATTAAGATGCAGGGAACAAGGTGGGTCTAGAGGTGCACACCTGTAATCCCAACATGATACAAAGGGTGAGGAAGAGGAGCACAGTTCAAGGTCAGCCTGGACTATACTGCAAGACCCTGTCTCATTGTGGAAAAATGTAAGAGAACACAATAGCTTTAAATGAATATGAGTAATTTTAGCTTCAAAAAACGGAAATATGGAATCACTTTAGTTGAAGTGAGGATCTCAGCGGCCTTCATTTCCACAGACAGGAAGCTTAGAAAATTCACTGACTAGAGAAATCCTAATCAGAAGTACAATATAGTCCTTGAAAGTCATAAGGGTAGTGTAACATTTCCAAACTATCAAAGTTAGCTAACATCCCTGCAAAGTGCTGTGGATGAACCCAGGGCCTCACACATGTGAGATAAGTACTCCCTACCACTGAGCTACATCCCCTAGCCCTGACTATTTTGCAAGTTTCATTTTTATTTCTCAGCATTTAGAGAGATATTTAACAAATGAACAAGTGCATTTGATTTGACTTATAATTCTATATTTAATGAGGCATATGAAGAGGTTTAAATGACACTCTGCGAGAATTGATAAGCATGTTAATATTTTCTGAGAATTTTAGTGTCTTTCCCCTCTAAAGTGAGAAGATAAGCTATTATTCTTCTACATGTGACATTTGTTCTAAAGATACACTTGCATTTAATTTGTAAGCATAAGCATTTCTGTTAAACCATAAATAGTAAATATAATTGTGTTGTAATTTGGGTGGCTATTAGTTTGGTTAAGATAGAATATGTAGTAGGAATAAATTCATAATGTCAAAGAAACCATGGTTTGTATCATTTTACTTGTGAGCTTACTTAAAAAGAAACATTTCACTTAAAAGTCATCAATTTGAAGATATCAGGAATTATATTCAAGGATTAATTAGATTGCTATTAACTATAGATTTGTTTTTTAATAAATAGATCTGAATTTCTATGGAACTTATGCATAACCACAGCATGGCAATCATTATAATATTTCAACCAGAAATTCTGTGGGTGGGGTGGTGGTAAAGGACTGAAGTGAATATTAGCCTAGAATCTCAACATATTATATTCTAATATTTGCTTTCTTTTTTTTTCTTGCAGTACTGAGGTTTGAACTCGGGGCTCACACTTGATAGGCTGGCGCCACTCCACCAACCCCAATAATTTAATTTCTATTCTTGATAAGGGGCAAACAGAGTATGACAAATTTTGGTTAATTCTGAATAACATTAATGGTACAGGTGAAGATAACTTTGAATATCTCTCATGCAAATGTTATGTACAGGGAAAACAGACAAATCTAAGTGTCTGGGTTTTTGTTTTTTTTTTCTTTTTCTTTTTTAAGTGTCTGTTTTTGAAATAAACTGAATTTTGAAAAATGGTGTTATCTATCACATGAATGACTACAAGGATCCTCAGGTTTTCTGAGAAGATTAAAAAGATAAAGTCTATTGAATAACTTTAAGTAGAGAAAAAAAATACAGTAAAAAACTAGAGCAGAAAATGTCCTCTAATGAAGAGGAACTAGAATATAGGCCTCAAATTTAAGGAAAAGCCTATCTTTACACTTTTGGAAACAGATGAACTGAATGAGAGTCCTTTTCACTTAGTAATGATCCTGGAGTTAAAGGAACCAGTGACTTATTCTTCCTTTCTATCAAATCAGTTTCAGAAGAAATTTTCAAACTACTAGGCGTTACTAACACAGGTCTTAAAATTC